ACCAAAATAATTGCTAGGTCTGATACATGAATTCAGTAAAGTCGCAGCATATAAAACATATAGAGAAATCTGCTGTATTTCTATACAACAATAATGAAGCAGCAGAAAGAGAAATTAAGGAATCAATCCTATTTACAACTGCACCAAAACCAGTAAGATACCTAGGAATAAACCTAACAAAAGAGGGGAAAGACCTGTACTCTGAAAACTACAAAACACTGATGAAAGAAATTGAAGATGACACACACATACAAAAAAAAAAAGGAAAAGCATTCCACACGCATGGATTGGAAGAACAAATATTATTAAAATGTCTATACTACCCAAAGCAATCTGCACATTTAATTCAATCCCTATCACAATTCCAACAGCATTTTTCCCAGAGCTAGAACAAACAATCCTAAAAATTTTATGGAACCACAAAAGACCCCGAATAGCCAAATCAACCTTGAAAACACAAAGCAAAGCTGGAGGCATCACAATTCTGAATTTCAAGTTATATTACAAAGCTGTAGTGATCAAAACAGTATGGTACTGGCACAAAAATAGAAATAGAGAACAAAATAGAAAACCCAGAAATGAACCCACAACTCTTGGGTCAATTAATCTTTGACAAAGCAGGAAATAATATCTAATGGGAAAAAGACAGTCTCTTCAACAAATGGTACTGGGAAAACTGGACAGCAACATGGAAAAGAATGAAACTAGACCACTTTATTACACCAACACACACAAAAAATATATTCAAAATGGATGAAAGACCTAAATGTGACACTTGAAACCATAAAAATCCTATAAAAGAACACAGACAGTAACCTCTCTGACACAGGCCATAGCAGCTTCTTTCTATATATGTCTCCTGAGACCAGGGAAACAAAAGCAAAAAGAAACTACTGGGACTTGATCAAAATAAAAAGCTTCGGCACAGCGAAGCAAACATTCCACAAAACTAAAAGACAACCTACAGAATGGGAGAAGATATTTGCAAATGACATATTTGATAAAGAGTTAGTATCCAAAATACATAAAGAACTTCTAAAACTCAAAACCTAAAAAATGAATAATCCAATTAAAAAATGGACCAAAGACATGACTAGACTTTTTTCCAAAAAAGACATATAGATGGCCAGCAGACATATGAAAAGATATTCAACATCACTGATCATCAGGGAAATATAAAGCAAAACTACAAGGAACTATCACCTCACACCTGTCAGAATGGCTAACATCAACAACACAAGAAGCAACAGGTGTTGGCAATGATTTAGAGAAAGGAGAACCCTCTTGCACTGCTGGTGGGAATGCAAACTGGTGAAGCCACTCTGGAAAACAGTATGGAGGCTCCTCAAAAAGTTAAAATAGAGCTACCTATGATCCAGTAATTGTACTACTAAGTATGTACCCAAATAATACAAAAATACTAATTCAAAGGGATACATGCACCCTGATGTTTATAGCAGCATTATTTACAATAGCTAAACTGTAATTGCAATTGTAATTGCAGCCTGACTGTCCATCAACTGATGAATGGATAAAGTAAATGTAGGATAGGGGCATCTGAGTGGCTTAGTCAGTTAAGTATCCCACTCTTGATTTTGGCTCAGGTCATGATCTCACAGCTGTGAGATCAAGACCCAAGACCCATATCAGGCAAGATTCATTCTCTCTCTCTCAAAAGAAAAAAACAAACAAAACAAAACAAAACATGAGGTGTATATATATACAATGGAATATTACTTAGCCATAAAAAAGAATGAAATCTGGCCATTTGCAATGACATAGAGTTAAGTGAAATATTCAGAGAAAGACAACGCCATATGATTTCACTCATGCTGGACTTAAGAAACAAAACAAACGAGCAAAGGGGAAAGAAAAGAAGGAGGCAAACCAAGAAACAGACTCTCAACTATTGAGAATAAACTGATGATTATGAGAGGGGAGGTTGGTGGGAGGATGGGTAAAACAGGTGATGAGGATTAAGGACTGCATTGCTATGATGAGCACCTGGTGTTGTATGAAACTGCTGAATCACTGTATTGTATGCCTGAAATTAATATTACACTGTATGTTAACTAATTAGAATTTAAATACAAACTTTAAAAAGTCAAGGGTTTTTTTTCTTAGACATAAGATGATGCTAAAATTCATACTGAAAAACTAGGAAAACTCTGAAAAAATAGCTATGGAGGAACTGGCCTATCAAATATTAAAATATAAGTGTCTATAATTCAGTGTGTACTGGTATATAAACAATAGGTCAGTGGCATGTAACAGAAAATCCAGATGTTGACCCACTCCTTACGGAAATCTAGTGATAATGAGGGCAGTATTTCAAATCCGTGGGGACAAATATTGACATCTTAGTAAATGATATTGGGATAACTGGACAGATGTTTGGAACAAGATGGAATTAGATCTTTTCCTCACACTATGTACAATTCTGTCTGCCCTTCATAGTTTACATTTACAGGGGTTGGGGGAGACAATAAAGTAAATAAGCTACCTTTACAATAAAAAAGGTAAGTGGTATAAGGATACCTGGGTAAGGGGAATAAGGAAAGAGGAGAAATAAGGTGCAGAGTTTGCATTACAATATCTAAAAGCAGGGGCAGAGAAGGCCTCATTGATATGAATAGTAGCATTTGAACAAAGACTTGGTAACATGAAGCAAGCCATGTATTTAGACTTGATTCCAAACTAGTTAAGGACAGAAAAATTACAAGCCAATTTCAGTCATGAAAAAGGACATAAAATGCTGTACAAACCAAACACAGCAATGTGTTTAAAGAGTTAATACATCGTGATCAACTTGGGTTTATCACAGGAATGTAGATTTGGTTTAATATTAGAAAAACATATAAATCTTATTCACCACATTAAAAAATAAAGAGCAAAGATTATTTCAATAGATTTAGCAATAATTTAATAAAATGTAGCGCTCATTCATGATTTAAAACAGAATGACAAAACAAGCAAACAAAATCTCTTAGCGAACTACAAATAGCTACATTTTCAAAAAGAGCAACATTCCATAAAATCCACATGAAGCATCACCACTGTTAACAGAAACCTTAGAAACATAACCTCTAAAACAGGGAATAATGTCCAGTATTGATGCTTCTATTCATCTTTGCACTTCTAGCAAGTGCAGTCAGAAAAGAAAAAAAAACTAAGAATTAGAAACAAAAATGTCATTATTCAGATGATATGATTATAAAATCTCAGCCTCTACAAATTATTAGAATGTTTAGCAAGTTGTTAGATATAAGATCAATATCAGAAATCAACTGTATTTTTAAATAGCAGTTAGAACAAAATATAAATCTATTTAAAGTGCAAACCCTGCACTGAGGAAAAAGACTAATTTTACTGACAAATATTAAAAAGGTCTAAGTAAATGGAAAATATACTATATGCAAGCACAGAAGACTCCATTTACTCAAGGGGAGCTACAGATTCAGTGCAAAATTCCAATAAAAATCCAACATTCCGCCCCCTCCCCATGGAACTTGGAAAACAGATTCTGAAGTTCACATGAAAAGCAAAACTTCAAGAATACACAGAATACTCATAAAAAAATAAATAAGGTGTAAGACTTGCCCTATTAGATACCAAAGATTTAATTAGGCTGGAATGATGAAAATCTCTTGTTTTGACACAGGGATAGGAAGACTGGCCAGTGGAATAGGATAAAAGACACAGACCCAAAAACATATAGGAACTTGTCATAGGAGCATGGCTGTTACAGGGAAAGCATGCACCATTCAATAAATTGGGTTCCACGTAGGGCAAAAAAAGTAACTAGATTCTACATCGACACTAGGCACAAAAATAGATTCCAGATAAACACTTAAAAAATAAAAAATAAAACCTTAAAACCTTTAAATTTTTGTGACTTCGGGATGAAGATGTGTTTCTTTGAAAAGATACAGAAAAACAGTCATAAAGATTAATATTCAGTATATATACTTATAAATTAACTTAAAAACCCCAAATAGATTAAGGAAAAGTAAATGCAAATGGCTGATAAGCGTAACAAGAGCTTAATCTTACAAGTAATTACAGAAATATAAAGGCCCAAAGTAATATCATTTTATACCCACTAGAATGGCAAAATTTAAAATTGTGACTATTCTAGGGGCACCTGTGTGGCTCTTTTGGCTAAGACAGATTTCTACTCAGGTCACGATCTCCTGGTTCCTGAGTTTGAGCCCCAATCCCACTAGGCCTCCTCAATCCCCCAATCTCTCCGCCGCTCCTCTGCTCTGGCTCCCTCTCTCAAACATAAATAAGCTTAGAAATAAAGAAAAAAGAAATCTTCCTGTTCCAAGTGGTGAGTGTATTGAATAATGGGAACTGTCGGTGGTAGTATAAATTGTAAACCAGTTCCCATTACTGAATTATCACTCAGTTCATGACCCAGTAACTTCACACCTAGATTCTCGGCAAAAACTTAAGCATCTATGTAGATCAGGACTTCATAGTGACATTGTTTATACAGGCTGTACTCTGAAAGCAATCCACATGTCCATGGAATAAACTATGGATCATTGAGTTACAATAAAATATTATACAGCAATGAAAGTGAGAGAACTATGGCTACACCTAATAATATAGATTCTCTTAGAGATGTAATCTGAAGCGTGAGAGGCAGAATATTACAAACCATACGGTACATTTTTTTTTCTTTTTGGCACGGCCTAAACGCAAACAAAACCAAGCAAGGTTAAGGGTACGTATGTGTGGTAACAAAACTTAGAAAACAGGGGGAACTAAGATTTACACAAAATTCAGGATAATTTAAAAAAAAAATCTCTGAAAGGGGAATGGTGGGGGAATGGGATGGAAAGGCAATCCTGAGGAGATTCGAAGGGCTCTGGTAAAATTCTACTTCACAAATGACGTAGTGTGTTCACCATGTTTCTTAACTTACATATTCTGCAATTTTCAAATATTACAAAAATGTCAAACTTGAAAAACAAAACTAGAAGAGAACATACCCCAAAAGCGCTACACGCGCAAGCTACCGCCCTCAAGGCACTCTGGGTCCGCAGTCTCGTGGTCGGTTGCCTGTGGGGGGCGGAGCCTGTGGCTTTCTCCACGCATGCGTCTGACCACCAGCCAATCAGCGATGTCTCCAAACTAGGGGCCCTTGGCTTTTCTCTCGCGGGAATTCTGAGTTGCCTCAGAGGAGCGTCGACAGCCAAGCAGATACAGGAGGTGAGAAGCTGGGTTGTTGGATGCTGGAGTGGCGGGGACATCGGTAGAGAGACCTGTATCCATGGCCATAGGCCGTTGGCGGTATTTTCAGGCGGGAGGAGGGAAAGACTGTCTAGCGCGGGAGTCCTAGTTAGAGGCTTCTCTTTATTTGTGAGGTAAATCTTTCCGATTGGCAGGACCTGGGTGGGGCCTCTGACAGGAAAATTAAGTCCGTGAACTTCACCGAGGGCAAGGCCTTGAGCAGGTGAGGGACTGGTGGAAAGCCGCGGGCTGAATGGGATCTGACAGGTCTAGACGCCCCAGGCAAGTTTATAAGGGGGGGGAAGGAGAGGGCTGAATGGAATCTGACAGGTCTCGACGACCCAGGCAAGTTTATATCTGAGGAGCAGGTGGGCCTTCGTCTGTCCCTCGTCCCCGCCCCAAACCCGTCAGAAACAATTAAAATGAACTGAGGGCTTCTCTTCACTTGTCCTCGATGTCTGTATTGTGAAAAATCTTAGGTGGAATTGTTATTTTCCGAGGCACAGATTGCAGAACATTTTTATTTATTTTTTGCGGTAAGCTTATTTTGGGGTATGCTCACGACCTATCCTGTCAACAGCTACAGTTTTGCTTCGTAACTGAAATGCACAAACTAGATTTGCCCGAATATAGCCAGAATCTGGCAGAGGCGGGGTCAAAATTCAGATCTCCGTCCTCAGATGCGAACTCTTCGTCGATGCTGTGACTATCTTTCTTAACTTTGGGGCCAACAGATTAAGTGAGGAGACTCCCCAAATGTTATTCAACTAAGATAATCTTTATTTGATATCGCTAATTTTGAAATTTACCAGTTTACTTAAGTGATGTCTTTGGATTCAGAAGGTTTGAGAGATTTATTTTTTAAAAGTCAGGAAACATCTAAATATGGTGCCGTCTGGAAGAAAGCATAGAGGGAAATCTGGGAAGACATCAGTGGAAGATCAGATCATAAGAGCCTATGACTTTGAGAAAGAAGATAAAAAAGATCTGAGTGGTTCAGAGGAGGATGTCACCGAAGGTACAGTGTTTCTAATATTATTGGGCAGTTACCATGTCCTGTACTTCCCTTGTGTTGAATGCACCACATTTTAAACTATAATAAACTTTATGCATAAAGCATTTTGATGTGCTTCATGTTTCTCATTTGGAGTTAGAAAAGCTTACACAGCATCTCTTGCCTTTACAGTCATTATTCTCCAAATGTCTGATTGATTGATAAGTAAAATATATAACACTTATGGGATAAATACATATAATATATAAAAACAAATAAAAAACCTGGCCTACTAGGCACATTAACACAGGAAGACTTGCAAAACTGTTCCTATAAAATGGTCATGGATCCTGATTTAATTGCATCTAAACTGCAGAGGAAGTACTGTATTTATATGTCTGCTTTAAAAAGTTATGTTGGCAAAAAATCCTAAAAGCCCAAAAATTAAGATATTATACCATGAAAAATTACCAAAATGGCATACATAGTTTTGAAAATATTTTTCTTTCTTATTGTCAATGCAGGGAAGACTCCAGTAATTGATAAGCATGGGAAGAAAAGGACTTCTGCAGGAATATTTGAAGATGTGGGGTGATGTGCTCAAAATAATTTTTGCCTTTTACATGAAGTACTTTAAGAAAAGTCTACTTTGGTTGTCCGGCAACTATTGTATGTAAAATACTGGGTGTGTGATATTTTGATCCTTAATTAAAAGGTTTTTTTAAATGTATTTTCACAGGGGTGAAGTACAAAATATGCTGGAAAGATTTGGAGGTATGTTTTAGGAGATATCTGTATTTTAAGAAAATTGTTTTAAATCATATAATACATAATTTGTGTAATAGGACATGTTAATCAATGAACTACAAGACTGTTACCTAATGCTCTGTCCTCACATATAAGATTTTGTGTAAGTATGTGTGATTCAACTACAGAGACTTCCTTGCTTAACCTTCTCCAGTTGTGAATGTGATGAGTAAGAATGGTACTAACAATGGTGAGGGAAGAGTGGTGTTTTTATTTTATACTGTTTGAATTTAATGGACTATGAAATTTTAGAACAAAAATGGAAGGGGAAAGTCTCTACCCCTCTTTTGTATGGACTTTACAAAGTCATGGACCAAGGTTACAAACACATGTATCTGTATACATGTCAGTTTTTCATTTTCTCAGTTATTTTCTATGACATTCCTTTGTTCCTTAGGAGGGGCAGTATAAATTGAAGCCTTTAAAATACCTCTTTATTGTTATTTTTTACATTATTAAACTATATAGTTGAGAAAGGCAACCTCCTAGCTAAAAAGAGATATATAACAGGATTAAAAGATTATAAACTTTAAATGGTATATGAAATATTAGTTACATTTACTGTATTAGGAGATAGTATTCATAAAAAAGAGTCAGTATTTGGCTCTTCTATACAAATTATTTATTCAGTCAAGTGTATTTTGAAGGCTTTCATGTATTTGGTGGTGGAAAAATGTTTGTTTTGTAATGTTTTCTAAATTTATGATAGGTGGGTATTGGAAATATAAAATATTTGTATAATAATACAGATCTATCATGATTGCTGAAAAATAACTGTTGATGGTAGTTCCCTATGCATGTATTTAGCAAAGTATTATTTGAAGTATTAAAAACTGATGAAATGTAGTACTTATGGGTAGAAAAAGCTCCACAAATCACTATGAAACTAATATATAACATTGTGTGTCAACTATAATTCAGTAAGAAAATAATTTCCTTTAATAAGTTCAGGAAAAAAAGTTCCACGGAAGTATTTAAAAGGGTTCTTGAATGAATTTATTGAATATTTACTTAAGATTTTTCTATGCTTGTATTGTGCTTCTTTTGGTAAAAATGATACAGTATCACTGTATTTTTAAAAATAATTTTCTTATTTAACTGTTTTTATCCTTTTTGGATTCTTTTTAAAAATAATTTTATGTGTTTCATATGATGAGTTCTAGCAATAATACGTCTAAATGAGTTCTTTCAGTTGGAGAGTATTTTACAAATTTAGAAAAATTTAGCCCTTACTAGTGTTTTCTCAGGAAGACAAAAGTCTATCTTTGAGACTCCCCCTTTTTTTTTTTTTCATGTTTAGCTTTTTCAAATAATCTCAAAGTTAAAAAATTAATTCTAGGAAAGTCAGAATCAGGATACTTATAGCTCCAAGTTTTCTTAGAAAAAAAAAAGCAATCTTGCTTTTAATAATATACTTTAAATTTAATTTTAAATGTCTTTCCAAAACTGTAAACCAACTATATCCCTATTTAATTTGAACATGTGGCAACAAAATAATTTTCTTCATTAAGATTTAATAAATATTATTTTTCAATAAAGCTGACATTAACAAGGCTCTTCTTGCCAAGAGAAAAAGACTGGAAATGTATACCAAGGCTTCTCTCAAAACTAGTAACCAGAAAATTGAATATGTTTGGAAAACCCAACAAGAGCAAAGGTAAGGTTGTAGGTTTTTCAGACACAACATTTTTATAATTTCTTAGTATTCATTGTGCAAATTATGAAAAATACTATCACCTTCTATTTATTGGTGTCTCTAGTCAAAAATACGTTTGGCTTGACTTTTTTCAAAGTCCTTTAGTGTTATAACTGTATTCCTTCATAGACTTGAGATGATTTCCTAGAAATCCATGAAGATTATCTTTTTCTCCATTTAAATAGCCATTGAGGGTTGTTTTTTTTTTTTACTATAAAGTTTATTTACATTCATTCCAGAAACTCTCACAGACTGAATGAAAAGTGAATGTCATATTGATAGTTACCTATTTAACAATGTAGAAAAAGATCAATTTTATTCTAAATAATCTTTATATTTTAGCTGATGGCTTAACTGTTACTGTTTACAAAATCATTGTTATACCAAAATGGGGAGAAAATTAAGTGAAATATTTCTCTTTGGAATCTTTCATGATAAACATAGTAACTTTATTCAATGTTTATCATATTGGAACTTATATTTAGATGGAGAAAATGAGAAATAAACTGCATGGAGATAAAATGGACTTTCAGGAAAATTTATGTCTATAATAAAACTTCCATAGGTTTCAGAACTAAAGCATGTGAAAGGCTTTTCTGTTAGCTGGTTAGGAAAATAAACACTTCTATAATTAGCATAATTCATAATTTTACTTTTTGGTTCCACATCTGAAAATTTAAGGAGCCATTATTTCCTTCTTTTATTGTAATATAAATTATGTCAATTTTGTTTTGAATTTTTCCATTATTGGTATGAAATATGAAAATATTCATTCTTACGTTTTACAGGCAGAAGCTTAACCAAGAGTATTCTCAGCAATTTCTGGCTTTGTTTCATCAGTGGGATTTAGATGTGCAGAAAGCTGAGGAACAAGAAGAAAAACTAGCTGTTAGTATCATAATCATACTTAGTTTTATAATTGATCTATTATAACCAAGTGTCAAGTAGGAATGGAGAGCCTAGCTATGTATATATCTGTGACACTCAGCTGGGTTTCACTTCCCATGCTGGTTGTGTTTTGGTCCTTCTGAATGGTAAACCAGAGAATAATGGGGCATTCCATACTTAGAAAAGCTGTTGGCCTTTGCCTCCTCTATTGGTTGTAATTCTTGCAGTTCCAAGTGACAGAAATTGTCAAGGTACAAAAAAACATTATTGGGTTATATAAAAGAAGTCCAGGGGTAGTTTGGCTTCAGACATAGCTGGATGCATGTAAGGAAGGATTGCTTAGATAGTGTCATTTGGCTCTGTCTCAATTCTTAATAAGCTCTTTCAGTGTGATAAGCAAGATAGATAGCTTCTTGCATTTGTAAACTTGCTACAAGTTTAGTAACCCCAGTGGACTAAAATAGACTTTCTCAATAACTGCCAGGAAGAAAAGTCCTCTGGAGGAATATCATTGGTCTGGTTTGGATTATTCTCCCATTCCTGAACCAGTCATTATGGTTAAAACATGGTTTTCTCTTAATGGCCAGACTGTTGTTACATGCCCATCTCTATGGGAGATAGAAGTCAGCCCCCTTCCCTATATATAACTATGTTAACTATCATGTTATTTAATTCTTTTTTTTATAAAATTATCACACATTTCTTATTTAAGAGTTAAGGTACTATTCATATTAAATAATCTTAGGGTTGATGAGCTCAGTTTTAGAAATGTTAATATGAGGGGCGCCTGGGTGGCTCAGTCGGTTAAGTGTCCAACTTCAGCTTAGGTCATGATCTCACGGTTCATGGGTTCGAGCCCCGCATCAGGCTTTGTGCTGACAGCTAGCTCAGAGCCTGGAGCCTGTCTTTGGATTCTGTGTCTCCTTCTCTCTCTGACCCTCCCCTGCTCATGCTGTCTCTGTCTCTCTCTCAAAAATAAATAAAACATTAAAAAATAAAAAGAAATGTTAATATGAAACAAACAAGGGGATGTGTTGAGCAGGCCATTGGTATGAGTTGAGTTCTAGAAAGAGAAATAAGTTGAACTTACAAAGTTGGGAGTTCTCAACATAAAGACAGCATTTAACCATGAGATTGGATAAGATCACCAAGGGAGTGGTTGTAAATGTAAAAGAGAAGTAAGTCTAAGAACTGAGCTCTGGAATAAGTACTTCAATGTTTAGAGTTCAAGAAGATGAGGGAGAACCAGTAAAGGAGACTGAGAATGAGTTGCCTAATAATTGGTAGAAAGAAAATGACTCCAAGTGCAGTCAAGAAAACCTTTTGAGAGAGAGAAAGGATACACTTTGTCATATGCTGCTTATAGGCCACATAAGGTAGATCTGGCAATGTGGAGGTTGTTAGTGTTCTTGATCAGAATGATTTTGGTAGAAAAGTAAATACAAAAAGTTGACTGGAATGAATATAAGAGAGAATAGGAAAGATAGAAATGGGGTGGTAGCCTGAGTAGAAAAGGAATAGTATGTGGGTTTTTTGTTTAAGAATGGAGAAAAAGTAACATGTTTGTGTGCTAACAAAAATAATCTTGAGAAAAAATAAGTAATTGAAAGAGGGGGGACGATTGCTGAATTCTTTAGAATGGTTGGGACATATGAAAAACTTGGCTGTTACAGAGAAAGGATAGTTCATCCTTAAAAATAGGAAATAAGGTAGAGTATGTGAGCACAGATAGATGTAGGTTTGTAGATAGATAATAGTAATAGAGACCCAAAGTTCTCTTTGTATTACTTTTATTTACTTAGTGAAATAATTAAGGTCATTGGATGGTAGAAAAGAAGTTGCTTTTTGAAGTCAAATGAGAAGATATAAAATACTTTCCTGAAGAGTGGGCCAGTGAATAGACTAGGGAAATGTAATTTCCAAGTAGCAGTAAGGACCCAATTTAGGCTGTGATCACAGTGATCATGATTTAAAGTGAGACCTGCCAGCATGTGGGGTTTTCTGCAGTCATGACCAGCTGCAGATAGCGTAGCTGCAAAGGTGAATTTGAAGAGTTCAGAGTAGTATCTAACACATGGTTACTATGAAGTTTGTTATTGTTAATACTATGTAGAGGTTGTAGATATTGGCAATTACAAAATCTAGGGTATGAGCATATGAGTAAATGGCTAAAGTTGGATGGGAGACAAAAAAACCACTGGTGGAAAGTAGGCCAAGAAACTAAAGTTATTGGAAGGATTACTCATGTTGATACTGAAAGTACAAAGAATTAAAACATATTTTGAGTATTTTTAAGTGTTGCTACTCAATGACTGTTAGGTTTACTACATTATTGTTGTATATAGTGGTGAACTTGGTAATAATAGTTAAAAGTGTTAATTTTTTTAATGTTTATTTTTGAGAGTATAAAAAAACATTTAAAAAATTAAAAAAAAAAGGGGGGGGTCACCTGGGTGGCTCAGTTGTTTGGGTGTCCGACTTCAGCTCAGGTCATGATCTCACGGTTTGTGGGTTCGAGCCCTGAGTCGGGCCCTGTGCTGACAGCTAGCTCAGAGCCTGGAGTCTGCTTCAGATTCTGTGTCACCCTCTCTCTGACCCTCCCCTGTTCACGCTGTCTCTCTCTCTCTGTCTCTCTCTCTCTGTCTCTCAGAAATAAATAAAAATATTAAAAAAATTTTTTTTAATGTTTATTTTTGAGAGACAGAGACAGCATGAATGAGGTTAGTGCAGAGAGAGAGGGAGACAGAGAATCTGAGGCAGGCTCTAGACTCTGAGCTGTCAGAATAGAGTGTGACCCAGGGCTCCAACTCAGGAGCCATGAGATCATGACCTGAGCCAAAGTCAGACGCTTAACTGACTGAGCCACCCAGGTGCCTCTTAAAACAGTGTTGATTTAAAAACTATATCTTTTAAATTAAAGAATTATTTTTTGCCAAATTTTAAATTTTACCCAAATTGTTATAATTTTTTTTCTTTTATATTTGTAGAACCTGTTTCGACAGCAACAAAAGGTTTTTCAACAATCTAGAATTGTTCAGAGCCAGAGACTGAAAACAATCAGACAGTTATATGAGCAGTTCATAAAGGTCTGTTGTATTTGGTTATGTAATACATTCTTATATAACATTATATTTGGAAATATAAGATAAATATTTCCTTCTAAGTTTAAGGGAAACATTTTGCTTATATATTTTAAATTCTTAATTACTTCCCATTTTTATTTAAGTGTTAAATATATTTTTATTTTAATGTTCATTTTAAGACTGTTATTGTGGGATTATTAAAGACATGAAATGGTAGATTGGGAATTTTATCTAAATGTATATATTATACATAAAATTCATACTTTATTAACTTTAGTAGTAATAGTTCTATCTTAACTAAAAATAGAACATCCATAAATTATTTTTAGGTAGTCTTTTACTTGTCTTTGTATCTCTAGTATTTGCTAAATAGAAAGTACACAATTGAAAATGAGGAATATTTTATTTTCTAATGTATTACATATGTACTTTATGGTATATTTACTTTTAGGATTATTAGTGACAAAAAAATAGCTTTATGTGCCAACTGATAATCATGAGATGGCTCAGACATATACTAGAATGAAAAAGTCAGTGATTAAAAATTTGTGGATTGAGAATTATCTGAGACAGGCATATTAGCAAATTGTGGTTTGTGGCATTGGCCTCTTATTCATGCAGATATATTTACTTTTTAGTATTTGTTCATAGGAGCTCATTGGAATCCTGCACATACTTTTTTTTTTTTGATGTGGAGGATGCTTTTAAATAATCTTGTTCAAATATTACAATGTCACCCTTTTAAAGGAACTGGGATGCTCTGAATAAACTAGTAAAATAGTTTAAAACAATTAGTTTTAAAGAATTTTAATATGTATGTACACCAAAGTTATTTTTAGAAGTGTTTCCAGTCAGACGCACCTGAGTAGCTCAGTTGGTTGAGCGTCTGACTTTGGCTCAGGTCATGATCTCATGGTTCAGTTTGTGAGTTCAAGCGCCACATCGGGCTCCCTGCTGTCACTGCAGAGCATGCTTTGGATCCTCTGTCCCCTCCTCTGCCACTCCCCTGATTGCACTCTCAAAAATAAATACATGTTTTTAAAAAAACTTTCTAATCAGCTTGCTCTAATGCACTCTAAAAACCATTTGTTAATTGGTGAAGGTAGATAAAGTGCTAGAAAAGATTTCTTCTAAATCTTATCACTGTTACACTTAGGAAGTTTAGTATTATATCTGATTCCCTTATTCTTCACATCCAGTTATTAGTAGGTCCTATAATTTTTGCTTCTGCAATGGTTCTTTTAATTCCCATAGCTACTATCCCTAGTTTACAACCTCATCATTCTTTGCTTATACTATTAAACATCAGCTGATTTTTCTGTTCATCAAACTACTCTTCCATAGGTCTGTCATACTCTCTTCCTAAAACATCTCTTCCCTCTTGAAAAAGTCAGTAACTTCTCATTTTCAATTCTTATGTATTCAATATCTACCCACCCCCTCCAGCCCATAACGTGATCCTCTTTTTATGCTTCAATTACCACATTTGTCTGTTAATTCCCACTCCTCCAGATAATTGCTTTCTCTGAACTCACTCACTATGTACTTCCATTATGCTTCTGCTCTTGCCCTAAAATACTTTTACGTTTTCTTTCTCTATTGAAATTGTATTCTTTTGCCAACTAAATTAGAGTTATTCCCTATATTTTCTACTACATAGCCATAGCAAGTTGCATTTCCATTCCTATTATAAAATTTTACATTGTTTATAGTTTCTTACTGGAGTAAGAGTGTGATCATATATTGTTTTTTAATTTTTCTACAACACTTAATATAGTTCTTTTTATATAGTACGAGTTAGGACCACTGTTTGTTAGATGAATAGTAAAGATTTATAACATAATTTGTTTCTCATAAATTGAAAAAAGGTACAGTATAGATCATTTTATTCCCTCTAATACATTCACATCCCATTGACTATTAGTCATAATAACATAATAACTACCTGCTATTTTGAAATCTTGTTAGAAATTTTAAAAATTATGGCATTCTTTTTTTTTTTCTACTTTGACCGTAATATTAATAGTTCATTAACTTGTTATTCTGAGTAAAGTACACTACTGTCATACCTCCTATAATAACATTTGATCCATGTCTGATGCTTTTTATTCCTTTAGTGGGTGTCTTGGTTTCTACTGTTAATTAGAATATTTTTCTTTGGAATAAATAATGCACATTATTTAAAGATCCTACCTTTTTAAAATTTTTTAAAGTTTATTTATTTTGAGAGAGACAGTGTGAGCATGAGCAGGGGAGGGGGAGAGAGAGGGAGAAGAATCACAAGCAGACTCTATGCTGACAGTGCAATGCAAAGCCCAACATGGTGTTCGAACTCATGAACTGCGAGATCATGACCTGAGCCTAAATTAAGAGTGGGACACTTAACCAACTGAGCCACCCAGGCACCTCTTTAATTTATTTTTAATGTTTATTTTTGAGAGAAAGAGAGTGCAAGTAGGGGACTGGGCAGAGAGAAAGGGAGACATAGAATCCGAAGCAGGCTTCAGGCTCTGAGATGTCAGTACAAGAGCCCGATGCAGGGCTTGAACCCACTGACTGGGACATCATAACCTGAGCCAAAGTCGGATGCTTAACCGAGTGAGCCACCAAGGCACCCCTGGAGATCCTACTTTTGAAAACTAATTATACAGGTTTAGAATCTGAGATGAAAAGTGGTGGTAACTGAACTAGCCTTTTGCGTTTTAGAGTATGGAGGACTTGGAAAAGAATCATGATAATCTACTTACTGGCGCACAAAATGAACTTAGAAAAGAAATGGCTATGTTGCAAAAAAAAATTATGATGGAAACTGTAAGTCATTATATTTTAAATTGAGAAAAAATAAGGATTAATGCAAGCATTGAAATATTTTATTTGCTGAAATATGTATAACACTTATCTAAAAATTAAATGTTTAATATTTCTTTTCATGTAACAGCAGCAGCAAGAGATGGCAAGTGTTCGAAAGTCTCTTCAATCCATGTTATTCTGATGACTCTTTGAAGGAAGAACTTGAACCTAAATAATATGATACAATTATAACATTAGCTAAGAGGCATGTAATTCTTTACAGTGGTTTAAATATTTTAATTTAAAATAATACATCGTGTTAATCTTTAGTTTCAGTGTAAGAACCCCTTTCTGTTAACCTTCACATAAAGCTGAACAGTTATGTGAGTAGTAGCAATTCCTAAATTATATACACCAAGCCTTCAGTTCTTTAATAGTAATTGTGAATTTTTCTCTTTAACACTTGTCAATTAACTTCTAGCAATAAAAATGATTTAATTTCAGGTTTTGGCTTCAGTGTATCTGTATTAATCCCAACAGTTAGAAAGTACAAGTGTAAAAGGTTAAATTGTTCTTCCTTAAGAAAAAATACACAAAATCCATGTTATATATACATCCTATCATATATACTCATTAAATTACACAACCAATTCTAATTAAGATTTCAAAAGAAAATCTATTCTATTGACTTATTAAATTTATTAAAAGCAACCTAGGTTTCTGTTCATAAATAAATTAAACCGCTAAAAACTATTAAGAAAACGAAACAAGATCTATAAATAATCAGTTTTAAGATGTGGATTTGTGAATATGTCATTTCCACAAAGACATCAAAATGGCATTTAATCAGGCTTGGTCCACAATTAAATGACACATGCCCTTAGTAATGATTAAAAGTATATCGAACATACCTAATTACTTATGGTTTAAATACTTCATAATGGTCTTTAAATTACCTGGAAAATATTTTGTTTTTCAGGTTTAATATTCATTAAGTATACAGAAGTTTGATTACATTCATTTCCAAACTTGAGCAGTTAATTTTATACCTTGTCTCTAAAAGTGCATTTTTTAAAACATAACATATGAAACATTTAATATTTAATTGTTTCACATTTATTGAATCAATCAAAACACAAATATCCTCTTAGGGGAAAAGGAGTGATTTTCTCCTGTTTTTCTATGTTTTAAATTCTAATTTTTGCCCTTATTACCCACCTTTACCTTAGTTTTAAGGTTTTCCAAGTCTTAAAAAAAAGTCCATACTGATTCTCTTTTTCTAACTGTGATAAGTTATACAGAAATAAATTAATGATTATCTAAGGAGATAGTTCCTAAGCATTTTTGCATTGTGTAAAGGACTTCCCTTTTTAAGCCAAAGTTGGAATGTAAATCTTAAGTACTATTCAAATACTTTAAAAAGTCCTATCCAAACACTTTAAAAAGTTTACCAATAGAGGCAAAATAAGTACTGCAGAGTGATTTCTATGTACTTAATTTACATATTTTATCCTTTTAAGGAATATCACCTTTCACTATTTTTTCAATATGCCTTTTTATTGCCTAAGATATAGTATGTGTTCATTTCCCCTTTAATTTTGATTACTTCATCGTATGGCTTATGGTCTACAGACTGTTGGATAAAATTAAAAATAAGGTAAGATGGGAGTGTGAATCACAACAATCCTTGTAATAGTTCCAATTTTCATAATGAGCAACATAAATACTTTTAAGTGAGTGGAAAGATAAGAATCAGTACATAATGTATTTAGTGATGGTTCAAGTGATAATTATATCATCCTCCTATCCTCATGAGTCCATGTGTATTTGAGGTTAATTTGGCTGATATTCTAAAGGGAAGATATGGCCATGTTTTCATAAACTACTAATTTTCTTAAGTCAACTGTGCTTTAGTTGCTGTTTAAGTATTCATAAAAGGGAATGTTTAATGTCCACTTTTTTGTGACAAATTTTAAATCAGAATATCAAGGAATGATGTATAAAGATTCATTTGTTTTCTGAACTGGTAAGACAAACTCCTTTTAGTAAATACAAATTATGGAAAATTCTAGTAGCCCATTTAAATTCTAGTTGCAAGCAAGTATTTCCTTTTATAGAACAGTAATTAACATACCTCTTTTGAAAAATGGCTAATTAAAATAAATCATTTCTTTACATCATATGACTCCATAATTACTGTATTACAATCTATGAATTTATGCAGTGTTATGAACTTACTTGTCAATTTTTAGCAATTAAAGTAAGCATTGCCCTTAAGATAGCTAAAATCCTTTAAGTCCTAAACTTTTATGTAATCCCTTAGCAATGGAAACCCAAAGTATCTGATAAGGATTTTTGAGATAAAAAGACTCATCTTTAGAACCACAGTGGTTTACTTTCTTATCCTCAGAAAACTGAAATTTCTTTCTTTGGTTTTGTTTTTAATTTATGTATTGTAATACTCTGGTAAATACCTGTGATCAAAAATGTCGATATACAATGAGGGATTCACAACTGAAATAAATATATAATGGAATCTACAGGACTTAATATTTTTCATTCAAATATAACCTTATTTATTGTATACTAGCCTCCTGCAAAGGGGAATTTCCTTCACTCATAGGTTCCCCTAACTGCTTCTCCTCTTTTCCTTGGGCTATTAGTCAATATGCTTGTGAACCTGTTCAGGTGCTTCATGACATGAAGTCTTGAAGATATTTAGATGAAGGTGTCTTGAAATTTGCAGGCACAAAGCACTAAAGTACATCATCATATCAAATGAAGAAATGACCTTTGGAAGCAAAAAATAAAATGGATTAAGGTCTATCTTTTCTGAAGCAGTAGCTATTTTTCTGTCCTCCTCCCTATCCCACCCTGCAGATCTCGAACTTTAACCTAAATTCTTCAACAAAAATACTACATTTTCACGTACTTTCATATATCTCATATTTGGACCTCACTATAATCCTCTGGAACATGCAGGGTATTTCACAGTTATAAAAACTGAAGCTCAGAATGGTAAAAGGCCTAGACAAAAATACAAAAGCTTGAAAGTAACAGAACTCATCCTCTGACTCCACATTCTTTCAATTTTCTGCTGTACAACAAAGTCATAAATTTTCTATTAGAAGGGACTATCAGTCACTTAAAATCATCCCATCACATACATTTCTTTTTCCTTTGAGATGGTTGTAAGAAAGGCCTGGAAAAGACACTATAGTTGAGGAAAGTTATATACAAAATGTGTTGAATACAAAATTAAGGAGAAAGGCACACTTTAAAAAGTTTACTAGAGACCAAGGGCATATGCTTCCTTTCAGAAAAAGGAAGCTCGCAGCTCTGCCAGTGGAGAAGGAATTCTCACCCATGAGGGGAAAATCTCCCTGATGTATCATTTACTTGAAAAGCTCTATTTGACCTTTTTCTCTCTAAAGCAAGAAGCTTATGGCTTTTGTTATTTTAATTGTCATCCACATGTTTTTTTGTTGTTTTTTAATTGTGATCCACATAGTATTTTAGAGAAAAGTTCAATTTGCCTTCATCACCATAATCTCTACCACTGGCATAAACCAGTCCAACTCATTACAAAATAAGTGTTTGAATTATTTTTTTTAAGTAGGCTCCATGCTCAAAGTGGGGCTTGAACTCAACGACCCTGAGATCAAGAGTTGCATGCTCCACTCACTGAGCCAGCCACGCACCCTGTTGCTTTAATTTTTCACACCTGATGTTTTAATTACATTAACAATTCTATTTGGCAATGGACATTTAACTTTAGTAAAAGAAACCCTACGTTGACTATTTGGATATTTTGAATAATTACCTTCTATTTTTAAAATTTAGATTGTTTTGGAGCCCTAAAATTATGTATGGCAAATAGCAAATTAAAGAAAATTATTCTGATTTTCAAACACTTTTTAGACTATTGCCTGAAAAACTTCCAAGTATTAAGATTTATATCTCACTGCCATTTGAAGAATGGAAGACTTTTGAAGGGACCATGAATGGATATTAAACTATTTACTCCAGAAAAAGAATAATACTATAGAACCTAGCATAAAGGATCATCAGATGTACGGTGGTCCATGCACAGAACAGATATATTTTAATGCTTAAATCTAACAAATAGGGTAAATTATTCAAATTATCAAGAGATTCACTGACAGATTTCTTTTAGTACACTTTAATATGTGTTTATATATCACTAACAATTAGGTGAAAGTCACTGAGGTCCGGAGGTAGGGGAAAATAACGCAAAGCTGTTCAGAACCACTATTAATTGAAGACCATAAAGACAATATCTCAATAAAATAAAAATTGAATAATGCTCCCTTTATCCATGTTTGTGATTAAGGTGTAACAACAATGATTTTCTTTTCCTCAGATGGCTAGAGCTTCTCTCTCAAGAAACTTTATATGTTTTATAATCATTTTGAATAGAAACTAATATATATATTACCTATATACCACTTTCTTAAGCAGGACATAGGCAATGAGAATTTAACCTTTGCTTGATGAATCATCATTATTGATATAATGTCCTCATGAGCCATACAGGTACATCAGGTTGCTTAATTTTAGCACAAAATGGTTTCAGAATCCCATACTTGGTAATACTGTCTTTTCTGTTTTGTTTTTTCAATATTAACTGACAGTTCTTGATGCAAGAAGTACCCACCTTTGCTAACACTAACTCCATCTAATTTACCAGTTACCTGCTATAAGTTCGGTTTAATTCTAACAAGCTTGAATAAGTAAGATACTTAATAAGTATTTGCAGTTGTCTCGGTAGAGAGAAGTCATTTTCGGTAGGGGAGAAAGATGTATTTTTAAGGTACACAGTTGTGTTTTTAAAGATTTAAGCTGTTGAAAGCCTGATCTCCAGATAATGTGGGCCATTTCTATACACACAGAAAAATGATTAATGGCTTAAAAGGAGTAAATTTTTAATATTCAGAAACATTTACAGTATAAACTAGACAGTAAGGCTATCTGCTATCTCACTGAAATGACTCTTAAGCATAAGGTTATCTGACATCTATTAAAAACAAATAAAAATCTTAGCAGAAAAGAACTTACCATTGCTATCCAAAGAACAACATATTCGTCTACAAAATTATTAAAGTATTGGTCTAAAAATAAAAGACCTGGGCCAAAAAAGACAGTGTCTTGAAGATATAGTTCACTTTTGGTCATGTGAGCTATCTATAAAAAAGTAAACAAAATAATTTCACTATTAAA